ACAGATATTGAAACTACTCCTACCTGCTTTTTTGGTGGGGGAGGAGGCATTCCACGGCAAATGATTTGGGGTTGAATCAAAATGAAATGTGATACTAGTTTTTGTTCTAAAGCATAGAGGACCCATCCCACAACACCCACACTACCGAAATTACACACAACATGACAATTTCTGCCGGGTTGCTTTAAAAACAACCCCCATTGTCACTTCTTGTTACGGTTACGTCACAACCCCGAGGCAAAAGAACCGCATACCCTCTCTCTGGCAGGACTCCTGCCAACGTCCTGCCTGCCTCCATCTTAGGACGCCTCCATACCATCAGCTACCAGCCACAAGGAACGCCCAAAAGAATGCCAGGTTTGTAATTTCAGAAAGCCCCAGACCCCCGCAATGATGTCCCAGGGTAGGGGAGCATGCCAAGCAGGCTGTGCGCAGTCCCATCCTCTCCCCCACCTCCCCTGGTCCGGCTGGGGGGTCGAAAGGGACCCACTGAGATCCCATCCCGGCTTGTCCCAATCAACCAGCTGCCCCTCCAAGCACAAACCCCTCGGGCTCGCTTCACACCCTCCCCCCGGCAGAGACAAACATGGAAACAGAGCCCAGATAAATGGAAACGGGAGGGTGAGTTTTTCCGTGGTTCTGCAGGGGAACGAGCTGTGTTTTTCTATCAAATTGGACACACACACTCACACACACACACACACACACACACACACACACGGGTCCCCCAGAGGAAAGGGGTATTCCTGCTAACTTGCCGGCAGCACCAACAGCAGCACCAGGGGCACGAGGTCAGTGTGGTGGCCACCCAGTAATCTGGGGTCAGCCGCATGTCCTCTGAGCCCCTCTCTCTACTCACACCTCTGGGAAGGAAGTTATCTGTTTGAAAGGGCTCCCTGGGTAGACATCAGCACAGCTGTGGTCTTCTCTGAGAAATAGTTCGAAGGGTTCCATCGAGAAACATCCAAGCAGGGGTGGGGGCACTTGAATTACAAGCTTCCGCCAGGACCCCCAGAAGCAGGCGTGAATGCACTGCTGAGGCCCGGGGGCACCCGCCGGGAAGGTGAGAGCCATGATTAAACCCAGCAGCGTAGCTATCACTGGCCACTCACCAGAGTCAAGTCGTTACTAACAAAGCTAACGCTGTTAAAGTAACTAATATAGACGTCAAATATTAAATAAACTATCAATATCTACACAAGAGTCCTTACTTTTGAACACTCAAGTTGTGACCGTTTCTGGGATGCCTTCAAAGTCCAGTAAGAGTAATTTGTGTGCATTTTTAATAACTGGTTTTGCTCCTTATAAAAATAATACATGTATGTTACAGAAAATTTAAGACATACAAAAGTTTAGTATCATCACCCTGAAGCCCACCACCCAGAAATATACCCTAGATTTCTGTATTTCCCTCCAGTCTTTTTTTCTATAGACACATTGGTGGGGTACACATGCTTGTGTGTTTTGTTTGGACAGAGGAATAATTTTGCTGAGGCCTGAATTTCAATCCTGCCCCCTGGGAGTTTCGATTAAACAGGAAGTCCCCGGTCACCCAGAGGCTGCACCTCAGCCAAGCCCTGCTTCCTCGTGGTGTCATGCATGGTGACGCATACGAGGCCATACATGAGTGGATTTTATAGGGGAAATCACATGCTGCTGGGGCGCGTGGGTGCCGGGAAAGGTCTCAGAACACATCTCCAGCAAACACCAAGAATCAACTGTTCTTTGGGTGAGTGTTTTTTTCTACCTGGATCACCCTGCTATTCTTTTCCATTTGTATCGGAGTGATGTGGAAGCTCATAGGTACCTCGTAAGTCTTCTGTACCGTTTGCTATACAGAGCAAGGGCCTAGGCACCAAACTCTGCAAACACAGCTGGTAACTAGTGTGTTTACTGTGTTCTTTCATATCCCCTCCTCGAACAGTACCTAGTACACAGCAAGACGCTTAATGAAAGATGAATATTAACCGTGACGCTGAAATAATTCCTACAGATCCAAAAGAAGATGCCGCCAATATAATGGAAAACTACTAAAGTATGTGGAGCTGGTGCAGAGAGAAAAAAAAAAAAAAGTCTCTGAGCTGTTTCCACAGTCCAGGGAGTCTGTTCACAGGCAGCCTAGCTCAGCAGCGACACCGTGTGGTGAGAGGTGGTTGATTCCCAAAGGCACAGAGCAGCCCGGAGCCCGAAGCAAGCGCAGGCATTGAATCTACTACATACAGGGCAGGTGATGAATCTAAGGATGGGCCATGGAGTACAGATGCTGGGATGACAACATCCTCTCCACGTGCCTTAATTCCATGGGGATCTATGAGATCTAGTAAGAAGGCTGCAGGAAAGAAAACCAAAAAGAATGTACGACCCAGCTCTCTTCCCAATCTGTCAGCCCCAACTATCTGTAAACGCTGAGCCACCTGCACAGTGACTAGAAGATGCTCCTAGACGTCTCCACCTCGGCATTAGAAGACCCCGAGGAATTATGCAGCTGCCTGCAGAAAGACCAGCAAGGTGTGGATCAGTCTACCTTCACATTCATTTGCATGATAATCCTTTAAAGAATTTGTATTTCAGGAAAACATACTCTAACGCCCTGAGTTCTTATATTTCCTTTAACTGCAGATTCAAAGTCTTCTAGGAGTCGATAAAACTAAGAAATGAAGATATACACAACAACCACAAGCTCACACACTCGGGTTCCTCGGGCTCCCCAAGTAAAAAGGAATTTGGAGAAAAGCAGTCGGGAGAAAAAGCAATCCACAGTATAGAGATCCAAGAGCAACCAGACCAATTGGGAGACCCAAAATGAGAAGAGAACGTTTCTGAAAACTGCTCTTTCCCAAACTTATTACATAAAGAGGGACTTCGTAGCCTTGGAGTCTGCGTGGGGTAGACATACAGAACGTCTGCATACAGACGTCTGCATACAGAACGAATACTTGCTTTAATCTTGTTCAAGCACTTCATTCCCAAGGTTTGTGAATCAGGGCCACCAATCAGTAGGGGAAATGCATCCCCCGCCACACGCAATTTAAAAGAACGGAAAGGACAAAACCATGACGTATCTACTGGGTACATTAATATAAGCAGACACGCAATACAAAGCCTCGGCTTAGAGGTGTTTCAGGTTAAAGAACCACGGGAAATGCCCAGAGTTCGAACCTTGAGAACACAGCTTCTTCTTCACTGATACATCCAGGAGTCCAGAGGGGCAAGTCCCAAGACCAGTGCAGTCAGAACGCCCAGGAAAGGTCAAGGAGCACTGCCCCTGGTCCATCTCACTCGTGACCTCAGAACAAGCAGGCATTTCCTCACATATCCGGTCTCAGCCCTCGATGACCAGGAAAGGAGGGAGTGAGAAGATTTAGGAGAGCGACAGTCACAACTCCCCTGGGACCAGTAACCCTTACCTCCGCGGCTCTGCCCCATCCCTCCAAAGTGGGAGGGCGATGGGTGGGCCGTCTATAGGAGGGGAAGCTCTGAGGACCCACTTTATTTTAATATAAGTCACAAGTTGGATCTGATGCTTTTTCTTCTATTAACTGAACATTTAAAATAGAGACAAAGATGTGGAATTTTGAAGTCCCAAGATAAAGGCACAAACCAAAGTCATACCATGAATCCCCGAAAGCAGCCATTTAAAAGAGTCTGGGGCACCTGGCTGGCTCAGTCAGAAGAGCATGGGACTCTTGATCTTGGGGTTATAAGTTCGAGCCCCATGTTGGGTACAGAGATTACGAAAATAAATAAACTTTTAAAATAATTTTTTTAAATAAAAAAGTTAAAAGAGTACAAACTGGCTAAAAACCATAATGAAAATGAAATAAAAGAATGTTTCTTAAATGGAAAAAAAAATCCATTGCAATATCATTCATTTTTAAAATTTAAAACGTCACCTGACGTCTTTTTAGACTAGATACCAGGCACTAGGTACATTATACACACGTAACTTATTAAAACTCCAAACTAATAATAATAATATTAATAATTGGACTGTCTTTTAAATAATATAATTTACACAAAACTTTCACATATATTATTTCTTGCAAACCCCATATAATCCTATAACGTACCCTAATCTTATACGCACATGGAGTTTGGAGCTGTCTTCTCCAAGTGAGCACATCCCATCCAGATGGCCCACGGCTCCGCTCTCCTCCGACAACGAAGTTTGCCAAGGGATAGAGTATAACCCAAGAGAGAAGGAGTTCCTTCTCTTTTAAAAATGTTGAGGTAGGAGGTATACGTTGCTCTTTTCAAGGGAAAGCAGGTAAGTTTGGTGTTCAGAGTCACCTGGACCATCAGGCATTTGCTGAAACTGCAGGGTTATATCACTAAACTCACAAATTTCCCTATGTAGGGGAGACAGGAAAAAGACCTCCAAATAACTTGCCACAATCAATAAGAGGTTGACAGCTTGGCAAAGCAAAGGAGTTAGTAGGAGACACCCCTAAGAATCTGGCAACCAGCCCAAACCAGGTAACAACCACAGGCAGCAGAGGCAGACAGAAGCCCAGGAAAATTCCTGAATACATTCCCAGCTCCACGGGCATTTCCCTTTTAGACACAACTAGAGGACAGAAACTGAACTCGGAGCCCCTTCTGCCACAAGATGGCAGACATCAGCACAAATGAATTTTTCCTGTCCAAAAATTCCCTGAAAAAGGCCCGGATCAAAACAAAGGTCTTTAATCCCAAATGAATAAATTGTGGTTTCCAAATACACTCTTGACACATAAAAGAGTGACCCTCTGCCCCCTAAAGTGGATAGGCCGTGACCCTTAAGATAGAACGCCTTCTAAACCCCAACAGTCTTCTCTCCTGCCCTTACCTACAAACACCACAAGTATCAGTTATACTTGGATATCTTTAAGACGGTTCCCAAACTTGAAGGCAAAATAAAAACAGAAATCAAAATCAAGACCACTGAGGAAGAGCAGGGTCGCCGTCTGGAAGAAAGGCAACCAAGGGGTCGTCCCCTTCCCGCCGGAGCACACACTCACCTCAGCCGCAGGCAGTAAATAAAGAGGGGTTAAGGCAGGAACGTGTTTGATGTCACAGTTTAGGCCGAGCGTTGTCAGGATCTCCCTAAGGACTTCATATCTTCTAATATTGCTTGATTTGAGCAGATCAAAATCTTCTTGGGCTTGCACCACTGAAGAACTGGGAGGTAGTTCTAAGTGCACCTGCGGGAAAAAGACACTGCTTCGTAAATCGTGAATTGTGAATCCGGGGCACTTGCCGACCTTAGGAGGAATAGTGTCTTTACCAGAGTTTCTGAAAACCTCAACAGAAATCCTTCTGATCTTCAACAGTATGTAAACGTTGCACTTGACATGTGGAGAATCACGACAAAGCAATAAAAAGATTCAAAGGAGCCGACTGAAATTTGGGCAGTCGGGTGGAAAGGTGGTGCTGGACACAAGCCTGGATAGTATTCAGACTCTGCCTGGGTCCCGACTTGTATCACTAACCAGTCGGGGGACCTCGGCAAGTTGCTTAACTTGATTACTCTACCAAAACACTTAGAAATAGGATTGTACTGAGAAGCCAACTAAGGTTGCTACTGAACTCCGGGAGGCTCAATGGGTGGTGTGCAAACTCTCACTCCACCTGTAGTCATAACCACCAGGAAACAACACCACGAAGGAGAGGAGCCTCATTCACCATTATAAGAGTGTGTGCAGGCATTCAAATAGAAGATGTGGGGTTTGGGGGACCCCAGAAAGGCCCGCCCCACCACCTTCCTTCACCTGGATTGAATTTAAGATTCTGGACTTCTATCTAGTTCAGGCTTTGTTGTCCACTTAAAATTAAAACCCCACCTAGGGGCACCTGGGTGGCTCAGTCGGTTAAACGTCTGCCTTTGGCTCAGGTCATGGTCTCAGTTTCTGGGACCAAGCCCCACATCGGTCTCCCTGCTCAGTGGGAGTCTGCTTCTCTCTCTGCCCCTCCCCCTGCTCATGCTCGCTCTAATAAACAAATAAAATCTTTTTTAATAAATAAATAAATAAATAAATAAATAAAACAGCCCCACCAATCAACAAATGGTCTGTGTCTTGGTCTGAAGGAACATGCTAGAACTTCTAGCTCCCTTCAGCTAGAACTTTCCAATCAGTGGTGTGTGCTTTGGTGTAAAGGAACAGGCTAGAACTTCTGGTCCTCTTGAGATCAGATTTTAACGGCCATTAGAGCCTGGGAGGGTGCCAGAATATTGAGCAAGCTAAGCATGTTTGCTTTATTTTATTTTGCCTTTGCCAGGAATCAGCTGTGGATTTCTGTTGTATGCAGAGCTCCTGAGCTGATACTATTAGCAGCATGATGAAAATAAAAAGCCAGGTGCCCACAGCCTTCAGGCAATGTAATATCTCTCAATTCCCACCTAAGACTTAACCAAGTCAAAAATACTGTCCAAATATCCTGTCCAAAGCGGTCCGACCGTGCAGCTGATGCCAGTCTTAAAGGTTTGGAGAGACAGGCCAGCCGAGGGCTGCTCCTGCCGGCCAGGAAGAGTGAGTCCGTCCTCCAAACAGCCGCGGAGAGAGGCAGAGAAGTGAAATCCTTCAAGGTATCCGAATCCGAGTCTCCTTCTTCCCTGCGTTCTCTCCCTAACTGTGGCCTCTCCTCTCTAGTGGACAAAGGCAGTGGCTCTCCTGGAGGTGACCCCTTACAGGTGGCAGAAATAAAATGAGCGACATTCTCGCCCCACCTGGGCCCAGAGGAGAGGGCGTGAGCATGATGCCTGGCACACACACAGCCCAGGCTGAGTGAATACACAGAAGATCCAAGAAGCACCCGCAGTGGGGTGTGCTGAACTCACAGTCACACATGAGCGAGGCCAAGGAGGAAAAGCCGGGCTCACCCCCCACGAGCAGGCCTCCAGGGCTCCAGGAGGTAAGAGAGAGGACAGCCACGGACATTGTGCGAGGAGTGCTTTCGTGGGCTTTAACAGTAGCTGCTTTGACAACGGACGTGGGAAGAGAGACCTCCTTGGTCTCTAAACCTCAATTCACAGGACAGACAGTGTGTGCTTCTGGATTTGCGCTCCTGGTCCTCCGTGGGACCCAACACATGTCTCATCCTCTGGCTATAATACTGTTACCATACTGATGGGCCCGTTTCTATACCTTGGCTTCTTCTAAAATTAAGGCTTTTTGACCTAAAACGTCTTCAGTCACAAATGCAGGGGGTGGAGGGTGGTTTGCTACCTGTGCGTAGTATCTAGTGGGTAGCACACAGCTGACACCCTACAGAGCACGGGACAGGACAACTCCACAACAAAGCAGGATCTACCTGAAATGTCAACAGTGCCGGGGTTGAGAAACCCTGCTCGAAAAGCCAGGCCACACTGCCATGCGCTACGCTAAATAAGGGAATAAAATATTTTTAAGTCCATCGGGGCAACCTCATGCCAAAGTCCTGGTCCATCCGATAATCCAATGTCAGCATTAATCCACAGCCTTAAATTTCCCTTGCAAACCTGCTCGTCACAGCAAGCACACGAAAACGTCCTTTTTCCTCGTGATGAGCAGTAAAGGCGTTCACATGCAGCGCCTTGGCTGGGAGACCACCATCCACTGCGCGGCTGTGGTTTGCCCTTGAAGTGCTCTGCCCCCTCTTACTGGGTTACATCATTACTCGATTTATTAGAGAAGAAGACTATGAAACTGACCAGGGAAAGAGGAAACTAACCAGCCCTCGATAATAACATTTATTGGCTGCTCTTGGCGGCAAGGTATTGTAGTGACGCAGGTCTGAGCAGAAAGCAGTGACCCTGTCACAGAGACTGGAAGTCATTTAAAATCAAAAATGACATTCTAATCCTCTGAATCTGATTTTTGAAGCTGCATCGTATTGCCTTTTTTTTTTCCTAGAGCAATGCATGCAGTATCAAATTTTATGACAGTAACGGGGTCAATTTAAATGGTGCAGCAAGCGGAGTTGCCATGTCACTCAGAGAAATGGATCGCAGCAGTGCCGAATCAATTTTCTAGTACAAGTCTGTGCACAGGGGTGGTAAAAGTCACCATTCAAACCTGAAATACAGCTCTAGGAACTCGGGTTTTTAAGTGGATTTTCTGAGAATACACAGTTGCTATAGTTACCATCTTTGCAGAGAAAAAGATAAGAGGAACATTTATTAGGCCTCCAAACTAATTCTTGTGCTTTGCAACCTACATGAAACCTGCTTGGCTTGTATGCATTCATCTGTCCTGATGGCCAGATTTTTAAATTATATGCATCTTTGACTGAGCATTATCTTAAGAACAAACGAATGGGCTTTGGAATAGTAAAGAAACAAATTTATGACCCCTTGAAGAATGTTTGTGGTCAGAAAAGCCAAGAGATTTAGCTCCGAGGACAGCATATGAAATGAAAATAAACGATAAAAAAAAGGAAACGATTCTCCAACTCAACAAAAAGATCCCTGTAATAAAACAAAATCTGTTACACTCATCCTGGGAACTATTCTGGGCAAAATATTCTACATCTACTTAACTTTCTCATGAGATAACAAATCCTTAGGGACAAGAGTTCCTCTAACTCTAATAAAAACTTTCTGCCCTGAGGTGTTAAAAAAGTTTGCAGTCAATGATCAGGAATTTGGAAACCGTCTGTCCTGCTTCCATCTGCTTAAACAAACCAAAAAGGAAAAGGAAAAAGAAAGTGAGGGGAAAAAAAAAAAACAGCAGATGAGCCAAAGGATTTGGGAAGGGAGCGGGAGGGAAGTATCACGTCCCTTCTTCTCCCTTCCCACTTCTCCCTTACCTACATAAAGCTGACCCTTGAACAATGTGGGGGGTGAGGGGGCCAACCTCACCATGCAGTGGAAAATCTGCATATAACTTTCAACTCTCCAAAAACTTAACTCTAACAGCCTAGTGTTGATCGGAAGCCTTACCGATAACATAGTCAATTAACACATATTTTGTATATTACACATATTATATACTCTATCCTTACAATAAAGTAAGCTGCAGAAAAGGAAACTATTACTAAGAAAATCATAAGGAACAGAGAACACATTTACAGTACTATACTGTATTTAGCCAAGAAATTCCACACAAGTGGACCCACGCAGTTCAAAGCCATGTTATTCAAGGGTCAATTGTATTAATGTGCCATAAATCGAAATCGCTTCAAAATTCTATCTGAAATTTTTCTCAGCACTTAGATTTTAAGAGTGACAAAAATCATAAAAGAACTGAGGATTTGAGAAGTTTTCAACACTCACTACCCCAGCAGTTGGTACGCATTCACGCAATCCCTGATATCAACCACAATGTTGTAATGTGAGGGTTATGAACCCTGAAAATCACCAGCCCAAGGCACTCAACTCCCTATGCGAACGAACAGGTTCGATTATACTGACCACAGCGTGGTTTGAGACAAGCGAGTAGACCAATGTATTTTGGAAAGAGGCTTACCAGCACAGAGCAAAACAAGAGAGAATTTTCTGACTCATCTTCGGTCAACCAGCAGTCTTTAATCAGCATGACACCTTCTGCTTCGTCCCTCCGTCCTGAGTATTTTGGTGAAATGCGATATTCATGCGACAGGAAAGCCCTCATCTAAACCTACTCAGCATCAGCAAAAAAGTCCCAGCCAAGGATCAGAAGTACCCCACGGAGCTCAGACTCTTGACCCTTTTGGCGTTCAGTCTTAAAGGGCATACTGAGAGGTCCCCCAAGATCCCTACACGGATAACAGCTCCATACCTGGCAAAGAACAGCTTCTCCTCCGCGAGTTCCAAAAGGCACCTGCACTATCAGCCTGTCCTTGTTCCCATTCTCCAGGTGACCCTGCAGCTTGCCCAGGCTGTGGCGCTCCCCAGGGCTTTCCTCATAAACGTAGCCACTGCTCAGGACGCTGAGCTTCACCTGGGTCTGGTCAGCCTTGGAGAAAACCAAGTTCTGGACGGTTTCCTCGAGCACGCTCTTGCTCGTCACCCGGAAGCCAGCAAATGTGAAGGATGAACACAGGCCTAACACTTTCCCTCCCTGAGAAAGGTAGGCCATGAACTTCTGGGAAAGGTCTTCAGGAATAGCCTCCTGGGTGGCAATGACCAACAACAGACAGTTGTCTGACCACGGGTCTCTGAGAGCACTTTCCCTTGACAGGTGGTAGAGCGTATAGCTGTCGGTGTCCACGCAGTCCGCCAGAACGGACCGGACCTCCTGGAACCTGCCCAGGGATTTCTGGGGGGCAGAGCCCACGTAGAAGAGGATGTTGGGGGCCTTTCCCGTGATGTTGACTCTCCTCCATTCTCTCTCCAAGCGGATAGCATCAGCAACATCCTCCAAACTGCCACTGTGATCATAGGGAAGATCTGGAATGTTCTCTGCAGATGCAAACTTGACAGATTCAATGGTACTGTTCTCAAGCTCCAGACACTCATGGCAACTAGACAGATGGAGGGGACAGTGCTTGACAGAGCCTACTCCTCTGTCACCCTCCCCGGCAGGCTCACTGCCAGAGGCATCCCCTGTCCCCAGTGTGGGTTGTGCACCAAGAACCTCGGGATCATCTCTACCAATGCACTCCATAATGTCCGGCTCAGGCTTACTCTCAGCGGAAGGTTCAGGATGCTGTTGTAGGGCCTGGGCTTGCTTGTTTGAGGCTTGATCCTCAAGTGCCTTCAGAGTACAGTCCTGCAAGTGCACTGCTAAAACACGAACAGAAAAGACAATCATCAGCCCTTCTGGCCTGTCACGCGGCTCAGTTCAAAACCTCATGGCGCTCTCCGCACTCCGCCCACCGGCTCCCACCTGCATCCCTACCGCAAGTCTTCGGCATCCACTGGAACCGGGCACTGCTCCCACCTGCTGGGAGGGTGCGCCCGACCTTCCCGAGAGTGAAATCCCATATCCCACATTTCCACAACACCTTTGCCTTGTGAATCGGGAAGCCCCAGATCCCCTTATTGGCTGGTGAACAAAGTGGGATTCAGAGAGGTAAATTCTGTGCCCACTTACTTACAGAAGCGATTTCTTGGGTGTCAGTCTCCTATAAGAACATGAAACTGAGAAACAAAAAAGGCACATATCTGGTGTACCCAGCATACCCCACGTAGAAGGTGTTCTTGGGACACTTCATAGGATCAGTGGGGGAAAAGGGTCTTTCCAGTATCTTATCTCAGGACTGGAATAGAAGTTTACAATCACTGATTCAGAAAACATTCATGGAGCACTTGCTATGCACCTGACATTGTATTGGGCACATGCACATGCCAAATGGGGAAATTAAATGATTTACAAGGATTTCCAGAGCTGGGAACACTCCTTTGCTCAAGATACAAATGAAGGGGCACCTGGGTGGCTCAGTCGTTAAGCGTCTGCCTTCGGCTCAGGTCATGATCCCAGGGTCCTGGGATCGAGCCCCATGTCAGGCTCCCTGCTCCGTGGGAAGCCTGCTTCTCCCTCTCCCACTCCCCCTGCTTGTGTTCCCTCTCTCACTGTCTCTCTCTCTCTGTCAAATAAATAAAATCTTAAAAAAAAAAAGATACAAATGAAGACTTTCATGGACACAGAAACTCAATTTTTAAAACCTAATTAAGAAAGAACATTTTGCATGTTTCCTGAAAAAAAGATGTATCCCAAAATACTGTGATATATATTTTTTAAGTAAAACACTGTTAGAATTAGAACTTTGTAGTAATACCGGCTATGCTTTCCATCCAGTCGAACTATAGTCTAGAAACTTGTTATATTTTTTAGATGGTGGGAAACAATTATTATATGGGTTCTACATTTGCACGCCATCTCGTGGATAATGCAATTATGGGAAATCCTTGTTAAAGAATCTTAAAAGCACTTGGGGCACCTGGGTGGCTTGGTTGGTTAAGGGTCTGACTCTTGATCTCAGTTCAGGTCTTGATCTCAGGGTCCTGAGTTCAAGCCCCATGTTGGGCCCAGCATGGAGCCCACTTAAAAAGAAATAATTTAAAAAGCACTATCGATATACTTTGGGATAAGCATCTCAAAAAAAACTAACACATGTATTATTCTCATACTGTTACAATTATATCCACCTGTTGACTGCATTAAACTGAAGATAAGCATTTGCCTTAAGCCACACCGAACAAGAGGGTGCAACAGTCCTTAAGCTAATAACCAAGGGTCTCCTGCTATGCTAGAAATATTTTTTTTAACTTTTTATTTATTTAAGTAATCTCTACACCCAACGTGGGGCTCCAACTCACGACCCAGAGATCACGAGTTGTCTGCTCTTCTGACTGAGCCAGCCAGGTGCCCCTGATGGAAACATTTCTGAGGTCACTTACAAACAATCTTTTGAGGTACCAATCCATCAGCCATCTGGAGTCTATCTTCCATGAACGCCACCCCCAGCTTACTGAAGTCATCCACGCTTGCTTCAGCGATTAATTGATAAGGATCCCCAGGTCTGCAAGCTAATGGCAAACAGCAGTCGGACCACTTCACAATCTGAGAAAACATGGATGAGGGAGGAGGAAGAAGAAGACGGTGAGGTTGCTCTTCTCTAAACTAAGCAGATACTTTTCCCTTCAGCTCCCACCCCTCAGTTACAGTCAAACATAATGAGTTAGTTACTGGATATTGCATTTTCTTAACATCAAAGTTGTTCTGGCTCTAACATTCTTGTTTCTACCTGACAACAGGGCTTCCAAAGCACTAAATACAACCCTCTCTTTTATTTATTTTTTATTTTTTATTTAAATTCAATTAGCCAACATATAGTACATCATTTGTTTCAGATGCAGTGTTCAATAATTCATCAGTTGCGTGTAACACCCAGTGCTCATCACCTCACGTGCCCTCCCTAGTGCCCATCGCCCTGTTACCCCATCCCTCTCTTTTAAAAGCAAGCAATTGAAGTCTCCACCGCTTTTCAAGGAGCTGAAAGGGGAAAGGGCCATTTTCCAGACATGGAAATACATCAGTGTGCCCTTTAGTAACAGGAAATAGGAGAAAGCAACAGGTCCACAATATCCAGTGATTTATAATGTAACCTGTAGACCAGCTTTGCTCTAGTGCAGTCTGAGACCGAATGCACCAGAACTCCCCAGGCGCGTGTGAGCACTTCCCTTCCTGGGCACCCGCACTCTCTGGTGCTCCCGATGCCCTGCAGCCCGGGAATCAGAGAAGTTCTCCGTGGGGCTCCTCCTTGAGTCCTACAACTGGGAAAACAACTGTCAAGGACCGTCCTGTCTGGAGAGCTCCTGCCTGTCCTGGCTCGAATTCCCACCACAAGGGAAAATGAGCACAGAAAAAACCCAGTCCTTGACACGTTCTGGTTTTTCTAAGAGAAGAATGTGAACCCTGGAGGAGGAGAAGGGGAGCCCTGGGCCTGGCGGGGGCGGGGGGCAGCGGGGACGCAGGTTAGGAGCCTGGCTCTGGAGTCGAGAACCTGGGCCTGGGTCAAACTGGGCTCATCTTCACTGTGTGTCCTCGGGCAAGTCTCAGAACATCTGGAGTCCCAGCTTCCTCATTCATAAAACAGGAACAATGCTATGAATATCAGTCATCTTATAGGTTTGTTGTATTAATGAGATTCAAGAGCACATCTGAATCCCGGAAAGCCTGGGACAGCAAAGTACTCAAGTGATGAAAGCCACGATTATTAGCTGTTATGAATCTGGCTTTACAAGCAAGTAGATAGAGTGGTACTTTTTTAAGATGCCATGAAGAATTTCCCTACTTCCCAAAACAAATCATCTCAGGGATACACTGAGAGTGGTACTTTTTTAAGATGCCATGAAGAATTTCCCTACTTCCCAAAACAAATCATCTCAGGGATACACTGCCCCAAATTTCATAATCAGAGATAAAAATTTTGAATTCCATTTTTTATATTGATAGGTTAGGTTTTTAGAACTAATTCTTGCTGAAAACAACGAGAAAGTGCTGGATAACATCAATACAACATCATCTTGAAAGCACTGAAGAAACGACTAAATAATGAAACATACTAGGCCCAACACTGGGGTAAATCCCGAACCTACAGAGGGAAGGGGGAATTCCCACAAGCCAAGCCACCTCTGCCTCGAGGGAATTTGCTCACCCAGGAAACGTGGGGTTCAAAAGTTCAAAACTCAAGGTCCAATTGGCATAAGGACAGATCTACAGATCAATGGAATAGAACTGAGAGCACAGAAATAAACACATAGATAACTGATTTTGGACAAGGTTGCCAAGACAATTCAACAGGGAAAGAACAATTTTTTTCAACAGACGGTGCTGGTACAATGGGATATCTATATGCAAAAGAATGAAAATAGACCCCCTACCTCATGCCATTTACACCAGGTACAAAAATCAACTCAAACTGGGTCAAATCCTCCATATACGAGCTAAAACTACAAAATTCTTAGAAGAAAACAGGTGTAAATTGTCATTACCTCGGACAAGGCAATGGTTTCACAGATAGGACACCAAAAGTACAAGCAACAAAAGAGAAAAACAGATAAATGGGTCTTCATCAAAATCTTTGTGCTTCAAAGAATAGCTTCAAGGGGCGCCTGGGTGGCTCAGTCGTTTAGCGTCTGCCTTCGGCTCGGGTCATGATCCCAGGGTCCTGGGATCGAGCCCCACATCGGGCTCCCTGCTCGGCGGGAGGCCTGCTTCTCCCTCTCCCACTGCCCCTGCTTGTGTTCCCTCTCTCGCTGTGTCTCTCTCTGTGTCAAATAAATAAATAAAATATTTAAAAAAAAAGAATAGCTTCAAGACAGTGGAAAGACAATCCACAAAATGGGAGGAAATATTTGCAAATCACATATCTGATAAAAGACTTGTATCCACAACGTATAAAAATATAGAAAGAAAGAACTCGTACAACAATAAAGACAAAATGCCCAATTTAAAAATGGACAAAGAGTGGGGGGCGCCTGGGTGGCTCAGTCAGTTCAGCGTCTGCCTTCAGCTCAGGTCATGATCTCAGAGTCCTAGGCTTGAGCCCTGCAGCAGGGAGCCTGCTTCTCCCTCTCTCTCTGCCCAAGCCCCCTGCTGATGCTCTCTCTCTCTCTCTCTCTCTCAAATAAATGAATAAAATCTTTTTAAAAATGGACAAAGGATCTGAATAGACATTTCTCCAAAGAAAATATACAAATGGCAATAAGCACTTGAAAAGATGCACAACATCCTTGATCAGTCATTAGGGAAACACAAATCAACACCACAATAAGATACTTCATCTCTACTGGGATGGATATAATCAAAAGGATGGATGCTAACAAGTGTTGTTGAGGATGCTGAGAAATCAGAACCCTACTACATTGCTGGTGGAAATATAAAATGGTGCAGCCTCTTTGCAAAAGAGTTTGATAGTTCTTCAAAAATTAAACACAGGGGCACCTGGGGGGCTCGATCGGTTGAGCATCTGACTCTTGGTTTCGGCTCACGTCATGATCTCAGGGTCATGGGATCAAGCCCCCTGTTGGGCTCTGTGTTCAGCATGGAGTCTGCTGATTCCTCTCCCTCTGCTCCTACCCCACCCCCGCTCACGCTCTATTTCTAGAATAAATAAATAAAATCTTTAAAAAAAAAAAGTTAAACACAGAATTACCAAATGACCCAGCAACTGCACTCCTAGGCATATAACTAAAAAACTGAAAATATATGTACACACACAAAAGTTGTATATAGATGTTCATAGCAGCATTATTCATAATAACCAAAGAGTGGAAACAACCCAAAAGTCTATCAACAGATGAAGGGATTAAAAACATGTATATATCCATACAATGGAGTATTTTTCAGCTGTGAAAAAGAGTGAAATACTGATTCATGTCACAACGCAGATGATCTTGAATACATTATGCTAAGTGAAGGAAACCAAGAAAGAAAGGTCATATATTACATGATTCTACTTATATGAAATATCAAAAACAGACAAATCTAAAGAGGTAGCGAGTAGATTAGCAGTTGCCAGGCCAGGGAGTAGGGGAGTGGAAAGTGGCCACTGATGGATACGTGTTTCTTTTTGGGGCAATGAAAATGGCATTAGGTAGTGGTGACTGCATAACCACTGAATTGTAACTGGATCCTTCAAAAGGATGAGGTTTATGGTATATGAATTATAGGTCAATTTTAAAAAGGGAAAAGAAAAGAATCAAGGCATTTTGCTTATTCCCACACTGCACCAGGACAGCCTAGACAGTGGGAGGACTCCAGAGCCCAGCTCCCTGAATTGAGTCCCAGCTCCTCTGGCCAATAGCTGAGGGACCCAAGCAAGTCACTCAAATTCCCTATGCTTGGGTTTCCCGTCTGTAACGGGGAAATGGCAAGGTTACCCACCTCACAGGGTTACTTGGGAGAGCCAAATGGGAGTGATGCGCAAAATGCCTGATCCATAGAGGGGCACTTACTATTCTACACATGTCCTCAAAGCAGGTATTCTCAGTGGGGACCTTCTCCCCCCTGAGCGGGCAAAAACTGGTTTGAGGGTGAGGGAGGGGGCTTGGGGGGGGAGATGAAAAAAGTTCTAGGTATCACAAGGGTTTGTGGCCCTTCAAGGGTGAACCCAACCCCACAAAATCTTATTCCTTACGATCTCATTTCTCTCCTGAGACAGAATTCAAATTGAATCTAATGTTCCTCATTCGAGAAGCCATTTAAAAAGCTGGGAAACACTCAATAATTGCAAGTCTTCATGGTCAAAAGGTTGAAACTCACTAATGGGTCTAGAATATTTGGAGAAAGAGAACCCTCGTAATTTTCTTTTAGCTCTACGGGGAGCCTTCCCTCCACCTGATCACCGACTTCTCCACCTCCCTCCAGACAGGCAGCCAGAGTGAGCAGGATTCCCCTGACCAGCATTTCAGTGGGACTCCGCATTTCACATCCAACACCTCTGATCCAGGATGAGAACAGAGGCTGACAATTCGCACAAATATTGAGCTGATTCCAGCTTTGAGAATGGAGGAAGGATGTCAGCTCAGGAGGAAGAGAAGATAAACTCTGGCCTCCGCAGGCAAGAGCTGACTTTGCAGAGGAGGGTGAACGGGAAACGTGCAAAGGAACAGCGCAACAGACCTCCCACGTGAAGCTAACAGCATCTTCGTCCTCGGGGCTATTGCTGGCAATGCACGCATGAGGAGAAATACTCAGCCAGGGGAGACCCAGCCCCGGGTTCAGTTGTTCAAACGCTGATTTAGCACCCTGCTGGAGAGGGCACGGGTGTGGAGCAAGGCCTCAGAGTAAGCATTTAGTGTAAAAGGAACCAATACTTAAATTCTCAGACAGCCCTGAAGGAGGAGAGATAAACGAAGCATGGGGAAGGACAGGAAGCGGCCAGGGAACAATACACACAAACCCCTGATCAGGTTTCTCCACTCAGCCAGCTGTTCCCTCACCTAAGTGCATTTCCTCTTTGTAGATATGGGGTCCATGAGCCACAGACCATGCAAACTCCCCAAGCTGTGCTGTGTCCTCCATCAAAGCAAAGCCAGGCTGTCACCCATGCATCC